CTGATTCAAATGATCAGCTCATCATCAAGCTCTGCAGAAGCCTGATAACGATCCTGATCATTTGAATCAGGTGTGTTGGAAGAGGGACACATCTAAAACGTGCATGACTGTGGCCCTCGAGGACCAGGATTGCCCACCCCTGGTCTAAGATCACCAAATCTATCACAGCTGCCCACTTCTTTTCCTTGCCGACCTCCACTGTGTCAGGCTGGTTAGCCACTAGCTGCTTGTCAGTCTGGAACTGAAGTCGCAAGACTGACAAGCAGCTGCAGGTTAACTAAACCGCATGTGAAAACTTTAAAGTTAATTTTTCTCATAGTAAGTGCTTAACTAAAGTGCAGCATGTTTTACTTGTAACACGATGTGAGGGGCTGAGCGGCAAAGCAAGAGGACTCACAGGTGGATTCAAAAAGAGGTTTCTATTTCAAGGTCAAATTAATGAAATGAAAAATACTTTATTTATCCCAGAAGGGAAATTCAATTAACAGAACTTAACTGGGGTTATAGCAAGAAAATAACCCCACAAACCAACTGCACTGACCAAACAGAACTCATAACTGAACAAAAAGGGACACACATACTTCCTGATCAGATCTAATGAACACAACAGGGGAGACATAAAACACCAACAACCAAACCAACTGCAAAGACCACAAAACAGTACAGTTTGTCTACTTAATCTAGAAGAATAACAACCCCAAACTACATCTAAATACCCAACACAAGTCGAATGAATGATGTAATATTTAATATTTAAATCACATAAACTCTGCCCCCCCCCCTTTAAGTGGCAGGAAGTTGGTACAGCCTGATTGGCAGCTCTGGTATAAAAGCCTGCTGCTCCTTTTGCCCAAAAGCAGCCAGATGATGACCACAGCCGCAGAAACCTGAACACCACAAGAAAAGATTAAAAACCACAGTGTTAAACATACAAAAGTTAACTCAATGTGTGCGCTACACAAGTAAGTACTTCAGCAAATGCAAAAAAAACAAGTGTGTTGTTTAAAATGAAAAAAAAACTTTTTGTATGCGCAGTGTCGAACGTGTTTCAACTTAAACTGAAGTGGTTTATTTGGTTACCAACTTCTATGGTTGGATGGTTGCAAGTGTCGCCATCACAGATTATTTTTAGATCGTGGTGCAACTAGTTTAGAGTTTTAAGGTAAAGACTCTTAATACTTCTGTCTACAATGCTTCACATTCTTGTTTTTCAATACAAGTCATCATGATTTGCAAAAAAAATGCAAAAAATAGGCTCCACAGCCAAAAAAATGGCACTTTTCTCAAACTTCTGATCGAGTTCTACAAACACTGCAGCATTATGTACATTTCTTTGCTAGTGACAGTGAACATTTGATTATTATTTTTATCTCATCTTCAATGTTTATTTATGTCATTTTAAGCATGACTCGTGTCCATAAAAAGAGGTGTAATTAAATCTCTTTTTCTGCTTTCATGTAGATAAATCCATGACGTTTGTTACCATAAATGGCAATCAATAGATATATGAGATGTCAATTACCAAACCTCTTCCCCAGTCCCCGCTAAAAAACATTGTCAAATCATATCATAACTGAAATTAGACACAGCAGAGCTACCAGAGAGAGAGCATTTGGCTGTGGTCAGAACACTATTATGCATTTTAGGAGTTTGGAGAGTGGAAAAAACTCTGCTACCAAAATGCAAAAAGCAAAGGCAGATTATCTGCTGTATTAGGCTACATTATTTGGGGGTAACAAGTCATCACATCCACTGTGGGACCTCAGACTTCAGCATTGACACAGCAGCCTGAGGGCAAACTTGAGTTAAATTGTATGTCAAACTCATCAAATATGGCTCATAAATCGTTTTTTTTTCTCCCTGTTTTAATAGTTAAGCATGTGAAAGAAAACAGCTAAGATTAGACGCCTGCTTTTATCCACTTCTGTACAAAACCAAAGACCTTTTGTTCCAGAAACGACTGCTATTTGGCAGTAATGTAGTAAATCTGCTATTCTTGGGTCTATAAATGTGCCACGAGAAGAACGGAAAGCTTGACAGGCAACAGAAACTAAAGTGGGGCAGGGGTTGGCAAATGGTCAAAAATTATATTTAGAAATGCAAATATGTTTCTTTTCCATCGCTTTATACTGGCTGGGATCACACGAGGCAGCGATAATACATTTGCTTCACATTTAACTTTGACTCGGCTGTGTGGGTTGAATTAATAACATTTTACACGTCAATATTTTCCAAGAAAATTCCCCTCATTTTTTTAAAAGAAGATACGGAGGCGGGGTAACACACATACATTCATTCATTTATTCACCCTGACCTGCAAAACACTAAAGACACTAAAATGACCAAGCCATCAAGAAGAATGAAGACTGGTGGCACAACAGCTGACCTGCTTGACGGGCTGATGAGAGGATGAGACGGGACGAAGGGGGTCAGCGCTCATTTATTGTCGATGCTTCTTATTGTCATCCAGCTTTTCTTTACCTCCAAGTGTTCATGAATGCAAGAAGTTTGCTTTAGAGGGAACCGTGAAAGTTAATGTCTGTCGGAGCACAAAGGAGGATGACATTACCAGTCCATCAAGGTCAAGGCTGGTGGGAGGGGGGGGCTAGTTAATCTGTACAGGAGGAGGGGGAGGTGGGGGAAATATGCAAGACTCAGAGGACAGGATGCACATTGACAATGGGCCAATGACTGCGGGACCGTGTGTCAGTCAGGGGCCGCTCTCAGGAGGGGAGACCTCGGCGTGTTAACATCTGTTCCAGAGCGCAACATAATCCCCTTGTAGTTTAAATTCATAGTTTCCTCCTTTGTCAACAACAAAAGCACCCTCATTTAAACTGTTTGCATTTTCTATTTTTTTTCCCTCTTAAGTCATTAAACCTACTTAGTTTTAAATCTACATGTCCAGTAATATTGTTTTTTTTTCTATTTTTTTTCCCTCGCTTGGACTAAACAAATGACTTTCACATTTTGGAGATAAGAATCTATTTACATAATGCAAATGTAAGTTTTCTATATTTAACACGTGTTCTTTTCCGCTACACCTCCATGTATTTTTTTCATCATTTCCAGCAGACCAGCGGAAAACTGGACAAATTTAAGTTTTCGGAATCATCAAGTAATGCAAAGCTGCCGTTGTATTATCATAATGAGAATATAGCTTATATGAAGTGTCATCAGGAACAATAGCTCGTGGGCTAATCTCAACGGGAGCTGAGGCCAAGCACAGATTTGGTGCGCATGTGAGGGGGGAGTTCTTGGTGCACACATGGCACCGGGGTGAGCCTAATCACGGCCTCGCAGAAATCCTCACAAATGGGGAAGGGGGGGATGGTGGTGGTGGTGGTGGGGCTGTCCCTGGGGTGACTCATTTAGGGTTTCGAAGTAAGCATTTAGCTCCAGTAACACAGCCGGCCGTCGCCTAGATGTGAGGACCCATCTTTTGTTTTCTTCTTTTTGTTCTCGCCTCCGCGTGCATGCACGGCAGAGATAGCCGAGGGAACGTCACCTTGTGGCTGCCCTGACACTTGGTTCAACTGGTTCGTAATAAAATGGACAGTTTCATCCCTCCCATTTCCTTTCTGCTGCCGTTTCTGTGGATTACTGGCTTTTTCCATTGTTCGGCCTACCACGGAGTCACAACAGCGTGGCACTCCTTTCCTTCCCTGTATAGTGCTGTCACCGGAGAGTCCACAATGTGTTCAACATGTTACATATTATGTTCTTGTAAACCCAAGTCTTATGAATGACACATCTAATTTCAGTGTGAATTCTCTTTGAAAATATTTTGCGATACCTGATCGATAACAGTACATAAGAACGAAGTACAATACTGACATTTTTTATCATCTTTTTAGGTTATATATAATAAATGTATGACCAACCTGCTTCCAAATTACACATTCAGCAGTTACAACCTTCTTTTAAAGTCATGTTTCTTGTCAGGAAGGTAGTTCATAATTTTGTGTATTTGTTTTTTGACGTGTAAAGTGCATTTATCAGCTTTTTAAATATATATATTTTTATTTATTTATTGCTAAAACTAACTTCTGCCTGCAGGAAATGACTCTCATAAGACTGATGAGAGTCAACCAAAACATTAAAGCTGCTGGTCTGGAAACTAAAACAACAGAATGCAAGATGCTGCAATGCTTCATAAACCTGAGCTGAGACGCAGGAGTTTGGAGAAAATTCTGCATGAATTTGTTGCTACATGTTTTTTTTTTTCCATTACATATATTAAAGCGATTCATTAATATAAAAATAACGATCAGTGCAACTTTAAGAGTACTTTAAATCAGGTGATATGGTGCCATTTTGTACCATTTAATCAGATGTCCGTCTAATTTTTCCCATCCAGTAACTGAACAGTAAAAAATAAAGAATAATAATAACATTCCCTGAAACAAAACACTTTCTGACATGATTGCAAAAAATAAGGCAGAAAAGTGCTTGGCATTTGTCTACCTTGTTGTGTATAATTAGATTCAGGTTTAAAAAAATAAAAAACACTGTTAACAGATGGGAAAGTCGCCATGTGGCCATGACCTGTTTATGTGAAGAGACTCATTCACCATCAATGGTCTAAAAAGACGTGCGTAAATGTTAAAATTATGGTATGACGCTCGATTTATGATCGTGAATTCATAAACAACATGTGTTTTTTTTCTATTTACTAAACTGGATGTGTTCAATTCTCTGACTGTGCTGTGTTTTTAATTCGCTCCCCTCCAGAGCAGTGGTGCGTTTACGCAGCAGAGAGCGCTCCTCCATTGGCCAGCAGCGGTGCGCTCAGGCGGCAGCAGCGGAGGGAAATTCATCTGTCCCGTCCTGCCTCTGTGGAAGGTGGCGGAGAGGAGGAAGAGAAGAAGAAGGAGGAGGAGGCGGGGAGTGTGAATGGATGGGACTCACTCAGTGGAGGTTATTATGCCGAACAGACAGCAGCTTTCCTTCCTGGACTTTGCTCCGATGAACTGTGTAGAAGCGGCTCTTTATTCCAACAAATCGTCTCATTGTAAAAGGAAAACCTTTTTTGTTTTTTTTGATAAGAGAAGTGGTTTTGTTTGAGTGACCGGTGCCGGCTGCGGACAGACAATAAAAGTGGGAGCGATCGCGCACAACAAAAGACACAAGGTGAGAACCGTTTGTATTTTTATTTTTTACGCAAACAGCCAATTTGATCATAAAACACATCAGGTAGTGTGATCACCTGTAACCTGTTTGTTTTGTTGTCCTGCATTTTCAATATGTTGCTGTTTTTGCTCATATTTAGTACCTTAAAACGTGTATTTGAGATGTTTTCAACCTTTGAATGCTTTATTTTATGAACTGTTGCTGTATATAAAATGTATTTTTTACTCTTGTGATAATACACCATAAACTCTGTAGCCCACATGTGCTTCACCTGACTTCTGCTGACTGTCAGCTGGATGCTGACCTGTTGACATGTCAACACGAGCGTCCCGCTGATCAGAAAGGTGTGCTGAAGTTTCTCATGACCCCCCCGATCAGTCCTACCTCACCTGTAGACACAAGTGGTGGCAGATTGTTTCTCCTGAACTCGTACACTTTTTCAGAAAATCGAACTCTGTGCTCAGCTGGTTCGCTCTGCTCTGTGTGAATATCCTGTTTCCTGAACAAAACAAAGACTGGTGAGGCAGGCATGGCAGCCATGTGATATCCTGTATGGGTCTTGTGTCACCTCAAACCATGAAAAACAGCAGTGGGCTGGCCACAAACAAAAATACATTTCAAAGACAGCTCCAAAAATACACATCATAAATTATAGTAATTGGGCGTGACGCAGCGCGAGGATGTCTCCGTTTTTACTGCCATTCATTTGGTGTGACACAGCTCTGTCATGAGGGAACCCAGTGACAGTAAGAGTGATACTGAACAAAGGCACAGCACTGCTTTGTATAGGTGACTATATTGAATTTGTGCCTCATGAGAGCAACATGTGCCATCTTTCTTTCTCTTTCTGACGCACACACACACACACAAACTGCAAAGGCAGCGCTGCTTTGTGTTGACTTTAGTCTGGGATGTTCAGCTGCTTTTAATGGGGTCAGCGCTTCCGATTCAATAAAGCTATTAACCCTCAGAATATTCCAACGCCGCTGCACGCTCCACTCTGCACACAGGAGTGATTTGCCAATCGTGGTCCATTTGGAACCTTATCCATACACAAGGCGGCGGTCTTTGAAAGAGTAAACAAGATTAAAACGGCACAACCAGACAACCTGGACAGTGTGACCTGAGCCGGTGAAGTGTTCCCATCTCTCCTCAAGGCCCCTGTTTTGTGTCAAAAGTTCTTTATCAGCATTTTTTCTTTCCCACACATTATAATGCTGTTTGCATGGATCTGAATGAGGGCATTTATCAGTCAGGCTATGTGATACAGGTGTCACACAGGTTCACATAATTCAACACCTCTGTTAGAAAACAAAGTTCCTGCCAGACTGGTTCTCCTCACAGATTTCCTCTTCGAAGAAAGATCAAGCTCTTGATTAAAGTGTGCCATGTGATAGGTGAGAATGTAAACGGGGATCCTTCTAACTCACTTTACACATTCTGTTCTATGTGGAGCTAGTGATATCAGCTTTTATGTAGTTTATAAATGAAGTTAACCTACAGCAAGCAAAAAAAAGCTTTAGAATTTCTGTGTCTGAAGAGTATTTTCAAGGAGTAACGCTGTCAGTACAAAAATATCGAAGAAAAAACTTAAAGGGCCATTTCAGTGGTTTTGAATTTTACTTTCCTAAAGTTACGGGTTACAAAAGTGACATATTTAGAGAGAAACCAATTCATGACTTGACTTGACTTGAGCGGTACAAGCACCAGATTATAATATTCAAACCCTAGTGACATCATAAGGGGTATTTTTCTAGACTCACTGAGCGGAACTTGATCTGTAAAGTTGGTAGTGAGCAGCTACTGCTAAATGCTAAACAGCTGTTAGCTAAACATTAAGTTACAGCTTTCCTAAAATGCTAAGCTACTATATCAGCAGCACAAGTCGACAAGCGTTATTGTCAGCCTGCTGAAGAGTGTGCATCATACAGCAAAAGCCAAACTTGCTAACTTTAGCCATCACAAAAACCCATCGCAAAATCCTGTTAAAGGAAAATTTTAGTTTATTTCAACTTGGTATGCTTCCTTTTCATGTAGCTATCGTGGCTTTATGGATCATGCTAACTTTGTACCTTCCACCTCCATTGTAACATGTGCAGAAAAAAAAAACATGTACCGGTATAGTATGAATATTGCTCTTTGAAAAGATGCAGGGAGCTTGTGCTAATTGCCCCATTTGATACTGTTAAGTGTGATTCCTCATTTCACATAATCTCTCGAACAGAGGTGGAGAGTTCAACGTCAGCAAGATTGCGCAATAAAAACCGCAATAGTCCTAATATTAGGAAATACACTTGGTTGAAGTCACCCGGATTTATCCTTTAATTTGAGTAGGGACATGTCCTGCTGCTGATGAATGCAACTTTTCATTTGATGCGATAACCCACAGAAATGCCAAGCGAAACGGTGTCATACTCTTTGATTGACAGGGGATATCCAAGGCAAAAACAGCAGTGCAGCGAGTGCTTAGTTGTCAGAAGTGCAAAAACATGGATATTGTGGATTAGCACTTTCGGGCTTGATGCTGGAGGCCTAATTCAGGGCCAGGCACTGGAGTGTTTTCTAGTTAATGTGTTTGTGGGTCACCAGTAATCTATAAGCTTAGCAGTGGAAATCAATTCAGATCCTCAGACCAGGGGGGACATCTGAGTGAAGAGGTTATGTGCATGTTTAGGAAAATGATTTAGCCCTGAGCATTTTCAGCACAAACTTCAGCCCCGTTATGTTTGCTGTAAATGTCCTCAGTGGTTGTAGTGCTTTCTGTAACGTAATCACCGCAAACATGGCTCTCGCCGAAAGTTGTGTCAACAAGAATCTGTTCCTCAATTGGCTGTGAACCAGCTCAGCGGTGTGCAGACACTACATCTCTTTTCCTTGTTTCATGTCTGCTTTGTCCTCTCAGACAGGACATCCTGCGTAAAACAAAGAGTCTGGACTTTAGTTTCGCATGCAGAACACAGACATTGTGAAATTTCCCGCTTTCACCGTGCGTTTCAAAATTTACGATTCTCTTGTGCGAAGACTTTTATGGGGCAAAATACTATGGCTTTTTGTTTGATTTCTAAGGGATTTGGTCCTTTTAATGTGTGGCTGTAGTGAATAATGATGCTCAGAGCTGGCTGTGTTTATTTCCCTTCAGAATACAGCAGAAAAAAAACGCAAGCATCAGCCCCGGAGAGTGACTCTCAGCTGGTTGGCAATTCCTCTGGGAGCCAGTTTCCATATCATTTAGATAAAAGAGACTGCATTAAAACATGCTCCAATCTGGTTAAGGGCAGATACTTGACAGTTTGTGGACAAATTCCACTAAAAATGCAGCGTTCAAGCCCACCTCCTTATGAATTATTTAAAGAATGGACACAAGGATGGATTTATAGGTTATCCATGTGTATCAGTGGCTATTGACCCAAGCACTTCAGAGTAAAAGCTCAGTGTCTCAGGGGAATGTTGGAAGGAAATTAATCACAATTCCAACAGTGCGTGGTTTACACCAGTACAACAGCCGATACAAATTAGGTAAAACAGTCAGTTGGCAATACATCATTATTTACCTATTGGGAAAAATGTTTTACTGAGAAAGCTATGTTTCCTTCTTCATAGTATAAGCAGCTTAACTCAGACTGTGTGATGCAGTTGTCACAGAGGTTCATATAATTCAACACCTCTGCTCGAAGACAAAGTTCCTGCCAGACTTGTTCTCCTCACAGGCTTCCTTCCTTATCTCAGGAGAACCTCATTCAATTTCACAGTTCTTTAATATTGCTATTTATCTATAATATATCTGTTTGTACATAGTGATACAGTTGCCCCAACACTAGACCCCTAAAAATCAAAGGTCACAGGAGCAGTTACTCCAAGGCAAAGTCCACTTTATTGTCAATTCTGCCATTGGACAAGCTGGGAAAATGATTGGATGTCAGAAATGTAGCCCCTGTTTTACACAAGTTCCCATTATATACAGCTAATTTGATACAGCTGTGTGCTTTCTATGACCATAACGCTGGAATGCTGTTAATAACAGTATATAAAAAGCTGCAAGGTACTAGTAAAATTTCAGCCACTAGTTATTTTACCTGTTTTTGGTCAAAATATAATTTTCCAAAACGATCACTGCGACATTAAAAGCATTATTGGGCCTTTTATGGTTATGTATTGGCACCTGGTCAAGGCGAGGAGAAGCCTGAGGCCTTGTCTGATACTGGGAAAAGTTCACAGTGACGTCGCCGAAACCAAAAAACAGAACAATGGATGTGAACCTCGTTCTCTGGTGTGACAGTTCTGTGCTTTGTACACCCACCATCCACCTCAACCTCCTCTCAGTACTCTATATTTAGTACATATGACGTTGTGGGTAGACAAGGAAAAAATGTTGCCTGATGTTAATGTAATGCAGTCAGTGATTGTGTTTGCCAACACAGCATGAGTTGGAAAATACATTAGTTGAACAAAATGTAATTTCTGAGCGGGTTGCACAGATCATTTGGAGGCTTATTCCAATAATGCATGTTCTATTGCTGGAAAATGTCAAGGGCATTGTTGTTGTTTTCTAGTTCCAACACTAAGCAGAACAGTAGATGTTCATTTATTTCAGAATATGGACAGTAAATCCTTGTAACATGTGTCTTGTGTTTTTTACATTCATTCATGTCTGAAGGCAAAAGGAGAAAAGAAGGCGTTTAATTTATGATAAAAATATAAACACTTACATCTGTGTGTCAGACATGTTTGAATTACACATTACAGTCTATGAGGGACACAAAAACCAACAAAAAGATTTTAAGGAACAAAAGTTAAAGGTAATTTTTTTGTTTTGTTGTTGTGTTCCTCCCACCACCTAGATTTCCTAGTGTTCCCAACTTCCCATCTCAAAATGCTGCGGCACAGGTGGGCAGGTGAGATGTAGAAATGCTACCAGATCCAAGAAAGCAAAGCACATCCTCCTGCTGGGTTCACCCACAACCCGGGGCAGTGGAGGGAACCTTGAACCCAGCAGATCTATG